CCAGTAGCAGAACAAATAATGTAAGTTAATAAATCATCAAGGAAAGAAACAAAACAAAAGATGACAAACATAAAGGCAGTTGCATACTGTGCATGGGTGGATAATGGAAGTGCTGCATATCCAATTACTACCTGCCAAGTAAAAGAACAAAACTACTTAGGATTGCAATAAAAGATAGAATGAGAGGAGTGCGAAATAGGCCAAATCACTAACCAACGAGTATACAACCACTAAGACGAGGTTGAGATGATTTTGTATTATTTCAAATGGAAGGAAAAGAAAAAAGGATCCCATTGAACTCACTGGTTTTGGAACTTCTAATTTCATTTGAAGATCAACATGGAAGAGAGTGAATATAAGTTCATGCAATGGTGCCCAAACAGCAGGGAGGGAAACTTTAATTTCATCATGGTAGCAGGCCATCCAAGCACCAACAGCAACTTGCGTGTGAGCCCACTTCTGAAGTGATAAACCAGGTTCCCTTGGATGCATTGCCTAGTCATATCAGTAACACAGAAAGAACAATAAGACGAGTTTAAAAATCATAGTGCAAAGTATCACTCAACAATTTTACCTCTAAAGTTTGTCTACGAACATCTGCATCATCCTTTCTTAGCTCAACTCTTACGAATAGATTCCTTTTCCAACTCAAGCTCACAGTTAGAATGGAAAAGCTGCACGAATGGTTCGTTGCTCAAAGTTGTCTGAAAGTCAAATGCCTGGAACTGCAGGTTAAAATTAAGAAACTAATTACGGGTAAACAAGTTCCACACGAATGAAAAAAAAAAAAGTTGCATTGGTAAGAGGCATTCAAACTTCAGAGGAAGATAGAATATCTCCAACACATATAACTCTTCATGAGAGGAGTTGCTTGGACAAGCAACATCCATATAAAGATCATTACACCAAATGTAGCATATGACTGGAAAGCAACTTCCATGATTAACCTCAGCTAAATTCTCAAGCAAGTCGAAAAATAATGACTAATTGAATAGAATTCAAGTACATCAACTTTACTTTAAAAAGCAATTCTCATCATTTAAATGTCCCTTGCCATATGGAATTGGGATCAAGAGGCACAGAAAGAATGTTTCTGCTCTTTCACATGCATCAACTAAGGGATAACAGGAGATGATTTGAAAGATGATTAAGGGTTGCTTGGAGCACAGAAAATTACCATCTGGATATTGCTTCCAACAGCTATACCAAAGATGGAAAGCCAATACTATTATGAAATCCAAAACAGAAAAACAGCATAAGAAAGACTACCAAAAAATGAAACTGAAAGGGATCAGACAAGACGTTTTGTCTTTTTCAAGAAATAATTTGTCTAAACTACTAATGGAGAATAACACTGATTTAGAAAACTCAAACAGCTTCCATGATGCATGTTGTAAACCTCTCACCTCAATTACTCACTCTCTGGTCCATGGACTTAATATATCTTACGGTGCTAAGGTTATAGCCAGCATTACAATGCTAGATAGATAAATTTGCTCCAAGCCAATTGAGGCATTTATCCATTCAAAATTGAATGAAGAAATAGGCAAACCATATTTACAGAACACAAGAAAAATTCCCTGGTTGTTTCCTATCAGCCATGCAAATGAGCAATTGAAATGCAACAACAATATAAAAGGAAAATACAAACGCAAGAAAGGCATTCTGCTTACATCACCAACATTGAGATCTGGATTTCCATGAGTGTTTCCATTTCCAGATGCATTTTTCTCATCATTAGGAATCCACTTGGAATTGCTACTCTGAGGCCCATCAGAA